GACCTTCGCTTTTAGCCCTGGCTAAATCTATATATTAGATATGCAATGAAAATGAGAGAAGGGATTTGAATGCGACGACATGCATCAATCTTGTTACATGGTGACTGGTGTTTGATTTGACCTTGGCTCTGAAATGTTTCTCGCATTGATTGCTTTGTTGATGGTATGTAATGTGTCAGTTATCTATTAATAATCCCATCGAAGCAATTTATTTTGCTGTAAAGCGTCGTATTAGATTTTCCTGCCTTCTTGGGGGCAGTAATTTGCACAAATTAACCGGTAACCGCACGATGTTTGTTTTTGTAAACTAAAAATCGTTAATCTGCTCTATAACTGACTGTAAAACGTAAAGCAATACAATCTATAGGAACCACCCAACGTTCTTGCTTAGTATCGCCCCAATGACATTATTTAAAAGAAAGATAGCGGCGAACAAAGTTGCGAAAAATTACTATTTTGTCTCAGGTACCATTTTCATTTGACTGGCACGAAAAAATGTATTGAGTGCCCACGGATTTTTAAGCATCAAATGGTTCACAAAGGGTGAAATATATACACCCTGTTTCAATTTTGATCGAAGTCGGAGTGCTAGTAAGAAAAAATGAGTTCAAAAATGTCTATTTTTTAGCCTTGTCAAAAAACGTTTCCCCCTTGTAAATGACAATGAACATGCAGGGGCCGTCAGGGGAGCCCTCGAGAAAAACTGATAAAATTCTTATTGAGAGCTGAAAACGGAGAGTGAGACTAGGGAGAGACGCTAAAAATACGGGACTGTCCGTTTTGCACACGTTATATTCGTTCGAATTACCCGCTTCTTCCAGCCACGAGCAATTGCCATTGACTAAACTTTGATGTAAGCTGTTAACAAGCTGTCAAGTTATGTTTCCAACGAGTCATTTCCGATTTTCCCTACCGTGATTATTTACAATCCGTTGGCGTGTTCAGTTGCGAAAGAATCGCAGCGCAGTTTCTAACCTTTGTTCCTTCGTTTTTGAACCCCCTGGTCAGAACGAACTCATTGTATGGAAAACGGACGGACGGTTTTTTTTTTCTCTCGCCGCACACGCCCTGTGAGCGTGTGAGGTTCGCACGCGAGGCTCTCACGCTGCTCTTATTTTACTCTAAACCAATAGGCCCTTTGCAGCTAGCAATTCACGTAGTACAAAACCACCGTGCTGGAGAGCAAAAGTCCCACTGGGACATGGCAAACAAAAGACATACATGATTTTAAATGGTACTTTCATAATAATAATAATAATAATAATAATAATAATAATAATATACCAGTTTATATAGCGCGTATTTACATATTCTGATCAATAGCGCTTTACAATCATATATTTAAGAGAAAACAAAAATACATTACCATGAGAATAAAATAAACTAAGTTACAAACTATAAAAAATACTTCTTAAAAAGATAGGTTTTAAGTCGAGATTTAAAACTGTTAAGTGCTGTTTCGTGACGAAGCTCCACTGGTAGGCCATTCCAGAGTTTCGGAGCTACTGCTGAAAATGATCCTGCTCCCAATGTTGTAAGCATCTTTCTCTTGGGATGGTCCAATAAGAGCTTACTAGTAGACCTAAGATTATATAATGAATTCGATTATATACTAATAAGATCGCTAAGATAAGTTGGCGCTAGGCCATAAATACATTTAAAAGTCAAAAGTAAAATCTGCGCCTTTGATAAGCCAATCAATAAACCATTACAATAGTCAAGACGGCTGGTTATAAAAGCATGAACCAAAATAATTAAAGAATCTCTCGACAGGTATTTCTTTATACGTCTCAAGTTATGTAAATTATATTATAATCTGCCGCATTACAAGCCTTGTTTATTTGATCAGTCATGCTTAAGTTGCTGTCAAACCACGATCCAAGGTTTCTAACACATGGGCTTGGAAGGATACGTTTATTGCTCACAGTAATAAAACACTAATCTAGTTTATCAAGCTTTTGTCGTGTGCCGACCAGCAAAAACTCAGTTTTATCATCATTGATCATCAATCATCCATTTCCTCACCGCGTAAATGCACTTTTCCATAGCTTGTATAGCATCAGCTTGAGCAGTGTTGCCGAGTGGTTTAAAACTCAGATACAGCTGCGTGTCATCTGCAAAATAATGAGCATCGGGAAGATAATGTTCCACGATCTTAAACAGCTTGGACGCATATATTGTGAATAGCAAAGGCCCTAAACATGAGCCTTGGGGTACCCCGCAGTTCAAGTCAAAAGGACGAGAAAGAACTCCATGTACAGAAACACGCTGACTTCTACCAGAAAAGTATGATCTAAACCAATTCAGAGCAGTCCCACGTATGCCTACCTCGTCAGATAGCCTCTCTAAAAGTATCTGATGATCAACAGTGTCAAAGGCAGCACTCAGATCTAATAAAATTAACATACATGTTGAGAGTTAATCTTTAACAAAATATCGTTCATCACCTTGATAAGTGCAGTTTCAGTGCTATGGAATTGCCTGTAAGAAGATTGAAGCGCATGAGATATAGCATTTGAAACCATGTGATCGTAAACTTGATTAAAAACGACTTTTTCAGTCAACTTGGATAGGTATTGTAAGTTACTAACTGGTCTGTAATTTTTGTACAGCAAATCCAATCCAGGTTTCTTCAAGATAGGATTAATAAGCCCACATTTCCAATCATCCGCAAATTCTCCAGAATTAATAGACAGGTTGATCATTTTAGTAATGACTGGTAATAGCACATCAGCACAGCTGATTACCATAGGTGTTGACATCGGATCAAACATACAGCTCTTCTTCGGAGACCAGCCAATTAACTTACTAACTGCACTTTCAGTTGAGGGGATAAAGCTGTCCAGTTTTCTAGTTGGCAACGTTTTCACATAGTCAAAATGGGAATCATGCAAACAATCAGCTAGTCTGTCCAATTTGACATGCATGGCGTCAATCTTTTCAACAAAGAAGCTACCCATTTCATTGGCTAAAACCAGCTTGTCACTAGTTGGTGGAAAAGGTACTTCATGACCTTTATTTAGCAACCTCTTTGTTGCCGAGAACAGGTTCCTTTGATTGGAGTTATCTTCAACAATAAAGTCGGAGAAAAACTTACGACGGACTTCATTCATCAGGTAGGTTGTAAAGTTCCTCTTCATTTTAAATTCAAGCAAATCACGGACACTTCGAGATCGCCGCCGGTTTTCTTTCAGCTCTCCATCTTTCCCTCCTTGACTCCCTAATATCTTCACTAAACCAAGGTACCAAAGGCCTCACTGTGATAAACTTAGTGACAAGTGGAGTATCACTATCAAGAGCCGCATATAATGTAGAATTATACCATTTAACAAGATCATTCAGAGCACCAGGGCTGTCTGTACAAAGCGAAATTGGAGAGAATTCATCACATAATAGGTTAACGTCAAAAACCGTAGTCTTCCTGAAAGAGATTTTTTTCCTCGGTAGCGGAGGCTTGTCCAGGGTTAGATCACAGATCAAAGTAGAGTGATCAGAAAACTGACAGTCAGTCATAGGGATGTTAGCCAATAAGGATATCGCACTGTCGAGTAATGATCAAATCCAGGGTGTGTCTTGACTCGTGCGTTGGCTCGTTTATATGTTGTTGAAGGCCCATTGACTCAAGCAGCTCGTTTGTCTTGTCCCAGTGCGACTTTTGCTCTCTAGCACGGTGGTTTTGTACCACGTGAATGGCTAGCTGCAAAGGGCCTATTTTAACAAAAAACCCGACTGTTTTGCAGTCTAAAGACTTAAATGCCAATTTTTCCCGATGGAGTTTGTTCCCAGACACCACTGGCATGATAATAGGCTTTAAGGTGTTTAGTTATCAGCCTTCCCGATCTTAAACCTGCTCCGAAGTGCCTTTGTTAATCGCAGTTACTAGAACCGTAGAACGCCTAAGATTTGTACGCCGAGTCGATCATGTAAGCATAAACTGGCACAATTGACAACGTGAGCATCATTTGTTTCTATTTACTGTCAGGGGCGTAGCCGGGATTTTTTCAGAGGTACGCACAATTCTCCAAATCAATTTGCACCCCCACCCCTCCCCTACAAAAAAACTTCCTTGATTAAAGATTTGGTTACGTTGTAAGCCTAAGAGTTTTTTATGCATATGAAATGACATTAGCAGCTTATGAAATACTTTGTCGGGTGTTTGGGTCCATTGAATGATGCATGTCAATCATCTATCATTTATATAGCCCGCGTGTACACAGGCTACTATCATGCAATAAGGCTACATACCTTTCCGGATTCGTTACTTTATTTTTTGATACTGTGTCCATTTCGTCGTTATAGGATGCCTTAGCAACGACGACGGCGAGGGCCGGGAGCGAAATGCGCTTTTTTTCTTCTTCTTTTTTTTTTTAACTTTTTCGAGTTTATTTCCGTCAACTCTCTTAAAATGACAAATATAGGTGAACTTCCCCCTGGAGTCTTGAGGACCGCACCCAAGTTCGAATCAGCGAAGAAATTGAATTTGTCCTTGTGTTTACGTCCTCCAAACAACGACGCAAAAGGAATTTTTTTACGGTGATGTTCGTACAAGTTGTAAAAAAAAGCGCGCTGGACGAGCAAAATTTGTTGTTTTTTCTTTTACTCATTGGGCACATTGCCGTCGCCGTCACCGTGGCCTTCGTTGTTGCTCCCAGGATTTATCGACTTGTGTAAACCGTTAGGAATTCGAACACGGTTTTAGTAAAAACGCCTGCCATCTGTTCACTAGATATATACAGTCATGTATGTTATCCAAGATTCGGTCCATTACAGATTGATTTACTTCGTTTCTCGGGAAACCGACATTTGGGTGGAGATGGAAAAAAAATTCGTTGTTGTAGAAAAAATATATATTTCAAAGAAACAACCAGAGTTGAATGAATTAAGGCAAACTGTGCTCTTAAAATAATTATCTTTAGATATTTTGCTTTCTTTTTAGAATTACCTTTTTATTTTTTATTATTTATTCATTATATATTTTTTTGTGCACGACTTTTTCAGGTATGCGCGTGCGTACCGTATGTACAGGTAGCTACGCTCCTGACTGTCTTCTCCTAGAAGCGACATGCAACTTTGATGTATCTTTGTGCGGTTTCGAGCAAGGGACAGATGACAAGTTTGACTGGACTCGACGCAAAGGAAATACACCTTCTGGTACAGGACCTTCTTTTGATCACACCACTGGAGACATGACAGGTGAACTGTAAATTTGCGATCGTGCGGTAAAATCTAGAAACTTACTATAAGGCAGTCCTACTACTATTAGCAAAGGGAAATATAACATGTATTAAACTAATGTAAGAGCAGTCCGCTGCACATATTGTTAGTGAATTTTACAGTCAAAGCGGGTCAAGCGTGCCCCCCAAGATTCTGTTAATGAAGTGATTATTTGAAAAATAAATCCGTTAGTGGTTCCCGCGATCTTTTGTCAAATTCACATCGGCATTTCTGCATGCGTAATGAGTAGTGAATATCTAACGAGAACTTCTCTGTATTAGGTCAGATTGAAAATCTTTGAATAGATTATATTTCTTAGAAGATATTTACATCAAATTCAGGGAAACTGAGCTGGTAGAAATTTCGTAACTGCATGCCTCACGTGTGAATTCACAGCTCATTTCGCATGCAAGAATGCAGACATGAATCTGAAATCTACAACTACCAACGGATTCAACTTTCGAATAATAAATTCATTAATGGGATCTTGGGGGGTACGCTTGACCTGGCTTGACTGTAATGTTGCCAGTTTTTCTACTTTATGCCACGTCCACTTTCCTTGGTTTAATTGTCTTTTTTGTTACTTTTTTTAGCTGCCTGCGTATTTAACTCTTGAAATTATCAGGCGAAAATATCTAATTTCGTGCCACTTAGTGCAATACGATGACGTTGCAGTCACTCTTTACATCCGGGGGGGACTTTGTTCATTTCTTGTAGCGTTTCCTCGTCCTCTCAAATCCCGAAAGAAGGGCATCTTAGCACCTTTTTTTAAAGAAGGCACCCTTCTTTGATCATTCTCATTGTATAAGTCAGGGTCACCTTTTTAAAGTCACATTGAAACTTTTTTAGTGCGCTCTGGGATTGGTTATTTTTTTTCTCTTCTCGCTATCCGTACACCTTGTATCCCCTTGTAAGTTATAGACGTGTGCATTTATACATTATATCTTTTCAACAAAAAGCTAGATGATGTAACAAAATTGGACAGTCCGCACTGTCTGGTTAAGTATTTGCTACTCTATGTTGATCTTCATCTCTTTAAAGGTTACTTCATGTACATAGAAGCATCCAGTCCACGAAAACGAGAAGATAATGCAAAATTGTACAGTCCTCCACTGACATTCGCAGGGCACATGTGCCTTGAATTCTATTACCATATGTCTGGTGTAGCTATTGGAAGCCTGAAAGTCACCATAGATGAAAAAGTAGTGTTCTCTAGAAGCGGCCATAGAGGAAACATTTGGTATAAAGTCAGTATAAATGTATCAGCTATTGTGGGGTTGCATTCGGTAATAAGCTTTTATTGTTTTTACCTCTCTTAATCTAACTGAGCCGAGATCCTCAACGATAGGAAAACGGCGTCCACTAAAGGTAGTAATAGAGGAAGTTAATAGACACTAGGAATATTTGATCATATCTTTTGTAATAATTTTACTTCGGTTTTGGAGTCTAAGCAGGTTCGAAATCTTACTTTAGTCAGGAATTCCTGCTTTTTGAACATGTCAGTTAAAAAGAAGGTGAAAAAGTTGACTCGATCGATCGACTGCTACTATTATCAGGCTGCAGCTTAAGCTGTATCTTACTATTAGTTTTAATGTGACACAGTTAATTAACAATTAATGAATGAGGCTGAGTATCTTCTGAAGAATTATGGAGATCGAGGAGGGTGTTATCCGTCGAGGCCGTAGGCCGAGGCGGATAACACCCTCCGAGATCTCCACAATTCTTCATATGATACGAAAGCCGAATTCAATAATTGTTTTATTATTCATTCAAAATAATTCCTAGTTTAAAAACATGGCTAAAACATGCTTACCTCCATCGATCCATCGATGTTAAGTTCATCTTCGATAGTGGCAAAATATTTACCGAGCCAGCGAGGTAAATATTCCTAAAGCCACTATTCACCGAGATTGAAAAGAATAATTGTTTTAGTATATACACACGAAGTGATCTCAACAAAATCAGAGAGGAAACCATTAAAAAGTACGATTTGATTGACAGATCAGGTCAGCTAGACAGGCGACAGTTTAAAAATAGATCTTTGTAGAATTTTCAAACATGGCAATTCACAAGCTTATCACTTCGCAAACAACTGTGTAATGACTTAAATGGAACCGCTAAAAGTTTGAATTGTTTCCTTACCTGAGAAGAAAAGAAGAGCTTTGTTGTTTTCTGTTTATTCGCTAAGTTTATAGCCGAAAAGGTTTATTGTGTCGTTCCTCGCATGAAGTGCTGACAAAAATGGCGATTCGGTT